AGTATATTATTTAGACGCTCGTCTCTTATTGTATCCGAGCTCTTATAATACTGCGTATAAGATATTACATACAAGAAGTAATTAGTGTGTGTTGGCTCAAAATTGTTATAATAGTAAAGAGGTGGTGAACGGGATATATATTATAGTTTAAGCACTTGTGATGGAGTGATTGAAGGAAGTAAAAATTTTCATTGAGGTTTGAATTTAGGTAATAAAAGATATATCATTCTTTACTCTTTGTGAAGCACTATTCATCAAATAATTGTTGTGTAATAGTTGGTTAAAGGTCGGCTATTAAAAACAATATCTAACTACATACCCCAGGTATATCCAGAACAAATAAGATTATTGTGTGCCCAATTTGAATTAACACTATCCGCATATAGATAGAATAATCTTATAACATGGTAAGAGATCTGACATCGGGGCAACTCGATCATGTTAAATGTCTAATGAGATATATACATGCATATACCTTTTCTTAACTTGAAAGGAGGAATAAAAATTATAGAGAGCGGGGTCATGATAGTTTGAGAAGAACAAACTTAGGTTGTTCACTAGTGGCAATGAGAATATGGCCAGCAAAAAATGTAAAGACTAGGACATGTCAAATGAGGCTGGTGAAATCCATGGTGCAATCTTAGCAAGTGTCCTTATATGTGGGATGAAAAAGAGTAACGACAATTTGAATTTGTAATTATTCTAGGGTTGTCAAGTTAAAGCCAGATGAGAAGGGGGAATAAACCACAAGGTTTCCACGTGATTGCGGGCCTTTTGGAACAAGGGAAGTTTTAGTAACACTAGCTTACCCTAGCTACTAGTCTAATACTATTAATTTCATAGCCTTCAATTCCTATTTCCTACCTATGTGTCGTTTTCTTCATTTGTATGCACTTTCCATATTAAAGGCTCCATTATTTATGGTACAATGCCCTTTTAAATTGATTATATATATTCGTAGTGTATACATTGACAAAGACATAATCATCACACATTTGTGTACGATAGGTTACAGATTCGAATTCCCCATATTCTTTTGAAATTTGTACTATATTGTCCTTGTAGCTTATTCGGATAATTATATATTAGTATATAGTTTTAGCTTTTATAAAGTTTTAATCCATAGTTATTTTGTTTTCATGTAATCAAATCTTATATGAAGTTAAGGTGATGGAGTAATGACATCAGTCCCTAGCTCACATTTCTAAGATCGAGGGATCAAACCTCATACAACTTATTTGAGGGATTTTCTTATCTCTTCCCTCAAGAGAATCCCATTCTTCTTACAGCTTCCCTTGGCCCAGCGAGGTATTAGGAACCAAAAATAAAATAAAATCAGATTTATTTATATCATTGTATACTTTTGGTATGCATGTATTACAATATGATTTTGTTGCATATTACTTGATTTTAGTCAAGGTCCGATAATCTAAGAAAAAGTAGTCATGGAATGAAAAAAATGTGGATCATGTGTATAAAGACTAAAAACTTTGATTTACTATTTAATATAAAGGTGTGTGCATTGGATCTTCCTATTTCATGCCTACTGTATTAGTTTAAACATGTAAGGTCATCTAAAGATAGCCTATTTTTCTTGTCAAAATTAAATCAAACCAAATTTGTCATTATGTTTTAAGTAACCCAAAGATGTCAATTAAAACATGGAAATCGAACAACATACAATTTACAAAGTAGGTTACTAATTGACCTATCTAACTATAGCCTTCATTTATCACATGGACTTCTTCTTCTGTTTTTTTCAAGGTATGCATGTGTAAGTCTTCTCTCATCATCATCATAGACATGCACTTTCCACATTGAAGAAATTTGCTAAGATAATATATACTTGAAGAAATTTGCTAAGATAATATATGTACGAAGTATATAGTTGTACCATCCACATGATATAACCAGTTGTATAATAATAGAAATTGACAATAAACCTTTCAAAGAAATTGAAAAGGGAGGATTAATAACTATTATTAGTCTCTCTTTCGAATCTCATATTATGTTCTATCGACTGACACATGTTTTTCCTCCACGAGTGAACATGTATTAAAAAGAAAGCAGGCCGAATTTAGGGCTCCTTATCTCCCATAATCGGGATAAAATTAGTACTCGATCTAGAGTTGGCCTATATGAGGCTGGATCGTGCATATCTGGAAAAAACTGATGGTTCGTTGAAAAGCAAAGTATAGTATTTGATATGCTTACTAAACAAGATTAAAATTGGTAAATACTTTAACCTATAAGTTTTTGCAACGTCTAATAAATTGATAATTTATATAGAGTATGCAATACGTGAGTCAATAAAAGAAGAAAAGTTCAAATTTTCTCTACATGAGATAACTATATTTACCCACGTACTAATTAAATACTCCACAAACATATAAATCACATTCGATATAGGTAAGTTAAAGTGTACTATGTGCTCGTTCGAATATGAGTATCACCTATAAATATTTGCGATGTTTAAAAAAACCTACCCATTGAAAAGTAAAAGTGGGGTAATTTAAATTCGTTTGTACGCTAGCTAAAATGATAATTAATCATATATTTATAATTTTTGGTACTGTTACTTAATAGTGGGGGAAATAGTGTTCTTTCAATTCGTGGGGACTTGAAGAATTTTAACTCTATGCTTGATTTTCATAATGTACTGCATATTCATAAATTAACATCAACAGAAGAATGTTGCAGTGTTTAAAGACAAGCACCACGACAAATGTTGCAAGTATTCCTTGACATACTATATTGTCACAACCTTCCAAATCTTCAGATATAAAAATATACAAACCTAAATAAATGACCAACATTTATTTGCAGCTAATTTAATTGAGTCTATTATTAATTTCTAATGGATTTTAGCTTCTCTTTTGAATCATTCAATTAATTTTGTGGGGGCCATTTACTTGGAAGTATATACTAAAGTGTCTTTTACCTCCTGCCCATGTAAATCCAACTAAATAATCAATTTTCATTGGTTATATGCCAAATAATATGACGTAGATTCTGCCACCATTACATCATTTTTATTCACCCAATTACAATTCGCTATATATGAGTATGTATGTGTAATACCTAAATTCTTTGTATACAAACCTTTAAGGTGTTAGTTACCACTCCCAGTGTTTGATAATGTTAATTAAGCATCTATATTTTTTTTAAGTTGGCATTTCATAAATTTATATTAATAAAGTAGTTAATTTTTCCTTAAAAGTTATTGAAAAAACTATTAATTAAAGATTTTGATATAGTTTTACCTAACAAATTTGTGGGTCGTAAAACCTCCAAAAGATTATGTAAAAAGAATATATTCAACTTTTTAGTCCCTTTTCTTAATATATATATATATATATATATATATATATATATATATAGTCCTTGCACCCTTTTTTTTTTTTTTTTACAGAGTTGACTCGTAATCAGTCTTGTTGTATAACCTTTTGAACTCGTAGGTTATATTTTTTTAATGGTGGTGAAACTAATGAAAATTAATAAGATATTTTTATCTAAGCTTTGATCTATACCCATCTTCACAATAGTACACATATATTTGGATGGGAGGTACAATTAGGCTTGATTGTATATTTATAAAGCCATGTGAGTTGGTGAGCTTGAACTTAATTAGATGAGTTTATCCAACTCATGATCTTGCATTGGTAGGGTAGTGGCTTTAGGTAGGAGGGCTTAAAAGATACTATTATTTATGCATAAAAATGGGAGAACATATAGTATATATTAATTAGATGCTAATATTTTCAGAGTGTCATATTTGATATTGGTGAGCACATGAAAATTGGACATACGTTAGTGCTATTCGAATTCAGCCAACCCAAACTTGTCCTTAATATCTAGTGGGAGTCTTTTACCTATTCAGTATTGGAAAGCCGCATCTATTGGGGCAACATCGAATGGAATACTCATTAAGGACATGTCAAATTACTCTTTATATATAAGAGAAGGTAAGAGGAGTGAAAGGACTTATCAAACACTTAGTGGATACTTTATTTTATTTTATTTCACTTTTGACATTCCCGTGTAGCTTAAAAATGAAGATGATTAATTAGAGTTATAATGATAGAGTTACGTTCGTTCCATATGGACGAAGTTTGTATCAAAATGTTTGTCATCATGCATCTTACAAGGAGAGTAATATCGGATGCAGTGGCGGATCCAGGATTTTCGAGATAGTGTGTCACCATCAATTATTGATCATTTGGGAAAGTACAATTTTTTTTTTTCATGTCTTGTTCATAATTAATTTCAATCCAAAAATTATATATATATATATATATATTTCACCAAATTGATTTCAATCCAAAAATAGGACACAAAAATTCATACCACAACCAAATACAGTACTTAAGAATTCAATTTTACAAGTCGAAAATATTACAAATAACATGTTATAAACAAATGGTACAATAAAATTATTATATTGAATTAACTTTATGATTTTTTAGTTAATTGATAAGCTTTATGGGGAAATATTAAAACTGGTTGTACAAATATAAGATATAAAAAGGGAAAAAAAATTATTAAAAAATTATACAAAAAAAAGTGAGATAACTTAAGAGACCAGTTATTAAATATAACTGGTCTCTTTAATGAAAAAGAAAGTAGCGCAAGAAAATTGCGAAATGCAATAGCAGCATCAAAGAGACCTCTTATATAAATAACAGGTCTCTTTAATATTTAAAAAAAACCACATTAAGTCTTTTGTAGCAATAGCAGCATTAAAGAGATCGCCTATCTTAATAAGAGGTCTCTTTAATATTGTTTGTTGTTACCAATAGCAGCATCAAAGAGACCACCTATCTATAATAAGGGGTCTCTTTGATATTTTATTTTTAAAAAAAATACTGTGTCACCGGACCCACTATGACTAAAGGTGGGTCCGCCCCTGATCGGATGCAGTAGTTAAATCTGGAATTTTTATTATTTACAGCCACATGCATAAATGCATTAATATTATTATCAATCTACTTTGATTAAGCACTTTTAATCATCAACAATTTAAAGATTTTAATTCATCACTCGAGAATCACAATAAGATTGATATATTATTCCATCGAATTTTATACATGAAATAAAAGCCAAAATTTGATTATCTATCTCTACTCTCGCATTATACCACTCAATACCTCAACCTAATTCCAACTACTAATACTACTACTACTACTACTTATCTAAATAATAAAGCAAAGAAAGAAATAAAACTTGCATAGCTTCATAATTTCAATCTCCAAACTACCATGGAAACTTTCCTTTTTTACTGTGATCATGCACCATTTATATCTCCTCTTTCCTTCAATTTCCAATAATGTCTTGTATTTTTTCCAAATAAATTAAGGAGTTTACTAAATAAGGGCTAACTTCCAACATAGGTCACATTTATATTTCCACCACTTAAGTTCTTTGTTGTTGAACCCATTTAGAGAACACTTTTAAAGTATTCATATCAGCTCTATAATGCTTTTGTGTAAATTCTAGCAACATAGGCCATGTGAAATCAGGATATTTCCTTTGGTTGTTCTCATTGTCTACAAGTTTTCTTGGTGGTTTTACCACTTTGTCCTTGCTTGGGCATAGAAAAAATGCTAGTGATTTCCTTGGTTTCTCACTATTCACCACTGCTCTATGCAGGCAACTCTTATATATTCCATTCGATTGGGCCTGCAATAGCATCAAAGACAAACGTGAGAAAAGAACGTACGTAGCTTTTAGTGTTATGGATAAACAGTTAAATTATGGTCACATATTATAATATAACATAAGATAGAGTAGCACGTAATTTATTATTAATATATGCCATGCAATTCAAAGATATATTTATTGCTTATTATCTATAATCCTTATAATTTGCAAAAACTTAATTAGTATATTATGGCACTATCAGCTGAAATGAATTATATTGATAACAAAAGGGCAACCACGTATCATAACATATCAGATATTATCATTCACATTTTGCTATAAAAAGGTGTCCTAAATAAACTTGTACTTTCCTTTATAAGTTAGTGAAGTTAAAAAGTGAATTACCTAATTAATGTTTCTTTTTTTTTTTTTTTTTTTTTTTTTTTTTTTTTTTTTTGGGATCTATATATCCTTGTATTTATTTATTAATACTTTAAAGGAGCTACTTAAAAATCATTAAAAATTATTTTGAAATTTAATCACAACTATATGATTAGAGGCACAACCGCACAAAGATTAAATATCACAAGTAACAAATTAAAGTTTTTTCAATTCAAATCAACCAAAAAATATATATATAAAAAAAAATCTCCCTAGAACGTTTTAATTCACTGAAGATATGAGAGTGACATTTCACATAAAAGTATAAAACAACTATATATAAGGTGATCAATTTTAGGACAAAGGAAGAGTTAGGATAAGATATTAGTGACATATTATTGGACACTCCATACACGTACCATGAAAGTGTCACCAATGTTGACGACAAAAGCGTTGAAATCGGGTGATATCGAACGCCATTTTCCATCTGCAAACACTTGAAGACCTCCAACTTGATCTTGATGAAGGATTGTTAGCGATGTTGGATCACAATGAGGGCCGATACCGAGTGTAAGGTCTGGTCTTTGACATGGTGGATAGTAATTCAATCGCATCACTGATTCATTGTCTTCATAAAACTCCCTAAATGGTTTTCTTCCTACTCCCATGCTTAGTCCTAGCAACTCCATGATTCCTAGGGATAGCGTGCTCATCGCCTCGCAATAGTCTTGGTACACCTTCCTGTGTATTGATTGAAATATATGTTGTAAGTAAATGAGTTAACAATGACCATTGAAAGATCTTAAAGCATATTAGTAACCAAAAAAAAAAAAAGGGGGGTTTAGGTTAGCTTACCCTAAGTGATTGAAATCATCACCCAATTTATTGTTGAAGTATTCTTGGACAACTTTGTTGGAAGAGGATGAACACTCATTGTTAGTAGAGGGAGGAGAGAATTGGAAGGAGAGAGTCTCCTTCCAAGGAAGACTTGAAGAAAATCTACCGGTGAAGCTACTAGCATAGCCACAATGCTCACCAAACTTCCTTTGAGCCTTCTCTTTCTGAGTCAAGGGTTGGTCAAAGAAATCATCCATCAAGTTGTGGGCATCCTTAACCAACTTGGAATCAACACCGTGATTCACAACTAGGAAAAACCCATGCTTAAGGCAAGCCTCACCCACTAGCTTTGAAGCCTCCAGGGTTGCCTGGGAATCCCCTGAAAGGAAACCCTGGAGGTCAATGAGGGGAACTGGCAACTCTTCCGGGTCAATGAGGCTTGGCTTCTCATCATCTGGCCATATAAATTGTTGTGGTATGTTACGTTGATGGCTAAGAATTGAGGAATCGAATACAAGTTGTGACTCGTTTTTTGAGTTTTGGTAGGTTTTTGTGGTAGTAAGAGGTATGTTTCTCATGCAATCAATAGCCATTTTTGCATGAAACTTTATAAATATGTATATTTTTTTTTTCTTATGAGCTCAAGAGAAACAAAGAAAGAAGAAAGTACCCTTAAAAATTATATTAGACAATAGATGGAAAGGTAAAAGGGAAAAAGGCGTATGTTTTTCAATGAGTAATGAAGGAGAAATGTTGAGGGATTATATAGCTCTAAAAAAGGCAAATAATTTGCAAAAAAGGGCTTATAAAAATGTGTATTTGCAATAGGACTTATAAAGTGAACAAAGTAGGGAATGGCCCAAGTTGTTTTGTCGTGTGTGGAGATTGACAGAGAAGCTTTTCCCAATGGAATTTGGCGTCTCTTTAAGAAAGAGAAATTATTAATTAATTTATTATTACTTCTACTAATATAATTAAGTGAGTATCAAATATAGCTAAGCAATACTCTCATTATCATTTTAGTATCCAGTGAAATGTGTCAGACCTAAATTAATTTTACCTATATAATCCAATCTTTCAATGGACAGCCTTGAAGTAAGGCAATTGATTGTCAGCAAATTCATAGGTCCATCAAATTAACAAATTAGTATAAATTTCTAAATTGAGTTGTATGATCGATCAACTATCTATGCATTACTTTGTCTGTGCTATCGACATGTTAATTTTTATTTTACATTTGGGTGTATATCGTACACCTAATATAATATTTTTGTTTAGTTGCTCATGATTTGAAAGAGGATCAAATCACCAGCAGCTAAGTATAAAGTAAGTGTGATGACGTAATCAATTGTATTTGATGAACATCTTTTGTTCGAGTTAAAAAAATAATTAATGATCAAATTTTCATTTATATTCTCTTAACTAATGCTAACACATTTCTTGTTTTGTGGGTATTAAAGGTGTTTGCAAAATCCGTTGTTATTTAAAGCAATGGTTGATACCAAGTACGAGTACTTTTCTTAATTGATTATAAATTAATATTGCATTAAACCAAGATCCAGCAAAAATTCTAGTATTTGCACCAAAAACACCAAAAAAAAAAAAAAAAAAAAAAAAAAAAAAAAAAAAAAAAAAGATGTCAACAAATAAAATGATAGTGAAAAATCTAAAAATGATAAATTATTTGGGCCTTGTTTTGATATTTAAGTGCAACAAAGAGTTGGTAATAACTAATAAGGGCTCCTCAATACATGTCACATAAACTTAATTGTGACCTTTATTTGCCAAAAACATACACTGATGAGCACTAAGTTATCTTCAATTCATGATAAATATAAGTAATGAGCTAATGACTAATGAGGTGTTATATTTTTATAATTACTCAAATATATGAGTGCACTTGTACTCTAAAGATTGAATATGCCACAAGGTCATGCAGATTTGCTTTTCCTTAGCTAGATTATAATATTATGATTTCCATTGTTAGATAAACCTATAATATAAATTAAATTGTTAGATACGAAGCGGCGGTCATTTGAAATATGAATACCATATTATTAGTGATATATAATATGATCGGTTCATTTTTTCACGTTATAAAATGGCCACAATTAGTCTTATAATATCTACAATGTAAATATAAATTTTGAAAATTTCAATCCAACATAAAATAAATATTTTTTGAGAAACTATAAAATAAGAATAAAAAATGCATAAATGAAACTAAATATTTGATAAATCAAAAAAACGTTGATAATAATATTTAATACCATTAATAGAGTAATATAATTAATTACTTGTAAAAAATATGTCAATTACGAACTATATAATCATTAAAACATTATGGTAGTTATATTTCAAACAACTACTGTAAAGTTTTCATATATACCTAACATTTACTAAAAACGCTAAAATTAAGAAGAAAAAAACTAAAACTTTTTTTTTTGACGAAGAAAAAAAAAACTAAAACTTTTAATCATAATATGAGAAGTGTGAAATATATATATTGATTGATTGTGTTTAAATATGAAAAAAAAAAAAAAAAAAAAAGGGGGAGAACCACCTTAGAAAATAAAGAAAAAGTTTTATATCAAATCGTGGGTATAAGTTAAAGTGATTTTTTATAGACAAGAATGTGTTTTGTTGGTTCTCTTTTTTTCTTAATTAGACCCATACATGATGAATTGATGATAATATCTAGATTTTTTTTACTAAATTTAAAGCAAACCAGCCCAATTCTATGAAAACAAAATGATGGTCTATTACGAGATTTCCTTTAATACGGAGTATATATTCCGTCTAGTATTTTCTTTTTATATTTTGCTATATTGACTTTTGTATTATTTACATGTTTATTTTGACCATAAAATAATACTTTGCATTTTTATTTTTATTTTTTATCATTGGATTATTTTTTCAAATATAATTATTTTATAAATTTATTTGTAGATACTTTTTTTTAGTCATAAAATGAACTATTTGTAGAAAATTAGATATAATAGTTGTGGAAGTTGTACATTAGTAAATATAAAAGCCAAAATAATTATGTAGAACAATAAAAATAAAATATGATACTTTAAAATTTCATAACTATACCTCTTTATATGTATAGGGAATTGCTAGAATGAGAAATGAGAAAACCACTAATTCCTTGACACATCATCTTGGTTTAAAATTCAAATTCCCTCCACTTTTTATTCTTAACTTTCTATATATATATATATATATATATATATATATATATATATATATATATATATATATATATATATATATATATATATATATATATATATATAATTTGAATGGTAACTACAAGGGGTGAGCATGGGACGGGTACCCATAACATTAGTATTAACGGTTCGAGTAACCAATAACCAATATCACTAAAATTGATATCCATAAACTGAACCGATAATTTCGGGTACCAGGATTTCGGATACCCGGATTTTCGGATCGGTTATCGGGTACCCAATAAGATATCCAATAATGATAATTAAACTCAATAATGTAGTTATTAACACTAATTAACAATAAGTACCACATGATCTTGACCAGATTATTAATAATATTACTAATCATTGATGTTATAAAGTAATTATGAAATAAAGTAAGAGTTTAGATTTTGAAAAAATAGATTTAAGTAGGAAAAAAAAACAAAAAATTGCTTATCAGATCGATTAATTTTAAAATGATATCCATTAATCATACCCAATAATAAATTATGCTCGGTCCTAATAACTACTAATATAAATAAATATTTCGTACTTCATAAAATTTTTAAACCCAGACTACTTTTCAGTCTCTAATATAATTTCATAGTAACTCAAAGGATGATGATGACTCCTCAATTCCTCGTGCTAAGGGATTTCTACCTCTTTACACATTTCGGAACATCAAAAGTTCAAAACTTAAAAGTGAAATGTGTTACAAAGCAATTTGGCGTTGGAACCAAAAACGATACTCTGAACAACGACCATCTGTTTTTGACAGAAGAAAAGATACAGAAAATAATGATATAAGACCAAAACAATCTGTAATACTCCGTAATAAGAAAATAAGGTTAATGATAAAGACACAAAAAATATGCACGGTACACTTTCAGTTTCAATTGTTTAATTTTGTTTTTTTAGGCATGGTAAAAATCATAGGTGTAAATGATTTAAACGAGATTCAATATTATACGGAGTACATCCTTTTAAAATTTAACCCGTCGAGCTAGTTTTAATTTCGATTGCAAACTTAGGATAATAAAATTATAAAAGAGAGGTTTTGTACATTGCATTTAAATGCAATAGACTGCCAAAAATTTGACATATTATGTGGGAGTTTTAGTAGTATAGCGATGTTACCATAACATGGGTCACCACCGGCCCACATTTCTTACTATATGGCTATCGGGCTTTGCCCCAATATTAACTTCACCGCTAACATGAAACTCTAGGCCACGGACTACTACATAGATAAACTTTTTTAATATATAATCTCTCTTCACTTGGATATTTATATTGCTTCCAATTCTTGGAAATACAATAATTAATTAATTATTATTTTGGAAAAATATAACAAATCTAGTCGCTATATAATTAGGTTTTCTTTTTGTTAATATATATAGGGGAATGCTCTTGTGAGAATTCTTCCTTTAAGTGAAAACTCTTTCATATGTGAGAACACTCTCATGTTCAAAATTTTTACTCGTATGTTCTAAATTTTAAATTACATGTTCTAAATCTTAAATGAGTTAAATCAAATGTTTTAAATTATAACTCACATGTTCTAAATCTTAAATTATTTGTTCTAAATTTTAATTAATATGTTTTAAACTTTAAATTGTGTTCTAAGATTTTTAATTATATGTTCTAAATTGTTACTCGTATGTTCCAAACTTTTACTCATATGTTCTAAATTTAAAATCTGGTGTTCTTAATTTTTATTCACATGTTCTAAATATTAAATTAGATGTTCTAAATTTTATTCAAATTTTCTAAATTTAAAATTAAGTTTTTAAAATTTTTATCATACGTTATAAATCCAAAATCAGATGTTCTAAATTATTACTCGCGTAGATGCTCTAAATTATTACTCACGTGTTCTAAATTTTAAATCATGTGTTCTGAAGTTTAAATCATGTGTTCTGAATTTTTAATCATATGTTCTAAATTTTTACTCTCATGTTCTAAAATTAAAATCAGTTCTCATATAAGTATGTTTTCTCACATATGGGCCTATTTTCTCACCGAATTCCTCCCATATATATATATATATATATATATATATATATATATATATATATATATATATATATATATATATATATATATATATATATATATATATATATATATTCCTTATGTTTAGCAATAATAGAAGTTCATCTTCCGTCAAATAATAATAATAATAATAATAATAATAATAATAATAATAAATAATAGGAAAATAATATGTATGCAAGTTTATCTTTATGGATATTGCTTCTACATTCATTTGTATTCAACGGATTAATTGTCGTGGTAGATGGTGACAGACTGACGATGTATTTTAAGTAGATGATAGATGTGAGGATAGCGTCAGCTATCACATTTTAGTTGTTAGAAGTAAAGTCAAAGTAGCTATTTGGTAAAAGTGTTTATTACAAACTAATTGTTGATATAATTAAATTTTTAAATGGTAAATTTAGTTGACATTTGACAAACACCACTCCAAAAGTTAGTTTTGTAAAGCAATAATTCAAAAGTTAATAAG